TTTTGGTGTTTTGAGACAGGGTCTCACTATGTAGTTGAGACTGACCTGGAACTCACTATGTAGCCCAGGCTGCTCTCAAACTCACAGCAATCCTCCTGCCTCAGCCTCCCAAGTGCTGGGATTACAGGCGTGCACCATTACGCCCGGCTTGCCCAGCACTTTCAAAGGTCCAGGGCCTTGGGGGTTTCCTTCTCACCAGCTTCCTGCCCTGTTCCTATCCAAGATATGTACAGCCTTAGGTTCCCACTCACTGGCTCCTCACCCTGGAAGGGCAGGCCTGGGGTCCTGTTCACATGCTGGAGAAAACGCATGAGGTGTGGGTGGAGGACCTCCGAGCAGCTGTGGTAGGCAGCCATTATGTACAGCAGCCTCCAGCCTCGCTGGCAGCTGTCTCTGCAAGGACACACACAGGGCCTCATCACAAGTGGAAACAGCACCACAATGTATAATAGGAACTTACTGGGATGGAGCTGGAGGCTTAGATCTGAGGCAGCTCCTGCTCTCTGAGGACATGCCTCCTGGACAATAAGTGCGGGGCAAATGGATCCTGAGGCCATGCAAAAGCATATTCTGCCTGGAAAGTCAGGTAAAGACAGGGAAGGAATAGGATGAGGCCCCAAAGTCTTTTCTGAGCAGGGCGTCTCTCTGGGCAAGACAGAACCTGCTGGGGCTGTGCAGAGGTAGTGGAAGTAAGTCCTGGGGACAGGCAGCCTGTGCAAAAGCAGCATACACACCTGCATGAGCAAAACCCAGTAATTCATCTTCATACTGCCCTGGCTGTGAAAGTTTCAACTGCGGGCTGGATTTGGGAGTTTCTGTAGCAAATACTGGATCAGTTTTGCTTTCCCTGGGATTGCTGTATTGGGGAAATGTCTTCCAGCCCTGTCACTTTGTTAATCTATGACAGAGGTTGCTTGAGAATGAGATACACATAGAGGAAAACAGAGCTAAAAAATGAAGAAAGCCTGCTTCCTGATGATACCTAGATCCAGCAGTACATGAAGCCATACACTCAATGACATTTTAGCCACCCAAACCAGCAAGTTCCCTCTTTTGCTTAAGCAAGTTGATCTGGGTTTCTGTCATTTTCACCCAAGAATCTGGACCTACACATTATCACTGCCATCTTATAGATGAGGAAACAAGATCAGAGAGCAGAAACGGTATGTCTCAGACCGAGTAATTCCAAAAGCATGTGGATGAAGAACATGGGGAAGGGAATTTGAGAGGGGAGAGGCTTGAGAAGGCAGGGAGCTGAACCCGCCACTCCTAGAGCCTGGACACAGTGGAGGACTGGGAGGAAGCCGGGTGACTCAACTCACTTCTTGGAGCTGGTATTATCTGTGATCTGCCTCACAATTTGGCAGTAACACTCATCTTGCATGACCTCATGGTCCTCACAAAGCTGAAAGAAAGCAAGCCAGGTCAAATGCCAAGGACATGCCAGGAGTCATTCAACACACAGGTACATAAGAGCAGCCTAGACACTGAGAGGTAGGCCTGGTGTCCCGCCCACACCCCAGCAGGATGCATTCCTCTTTGGGCCATGGAATAGCATCCCACCCTAATGTCCTGCAACTGGCTGACAGACAGGGAATAGAACCTCAGCAAAGTTGCCTAGACTGACCTTCAGGAGGGTGCAGAGTACATCCAGTTCGCTCTGGCCCTTCAGTGGGGCATCTCCCATGAACCTCATCACAGCTGTAGGAAAGATCTACCCTGCTCAGGCCAACCAAGTCCCAGCAGTTCATCCCCCAAGGGCCCCAGGATCAAAACCCTCCCCCAGGAGGCTGTGGCCATAGGCAGCTGAGGGCTTCCATTTTCTTCAAGGTGTCCCAAGTCTGGGTTGGGAGAAGGAAAGAATCTGAGGAGCAGAGAGGAATGGTGACAAGCAGGGATCACACAGCGTGGCATCTCATGGGGTGGTGGCTACAGCGCCACCCTCATACCTAGGAACATGTCTGTGGCCATCCTGTTGAGGTTGCTATCACTGAGCTCAATAAGGGATTCTTGGATCGGGGTCTGTGAGAGAAGGAAGCAGCTGTATTACAGTGGAGGGATACTCAAGATAAAAGAGGGCCACATCATACTACTAGGTCCATTTCCCAAAAGGGGAGTCAGAGCTAGGCCTGGCCCTGGGGACAGATGCCGCCCCTGGGAGGAATCCTGGCGCACTAGAGTAGAGTCTCCTAAGGTCAAGCTTGTCAGTCCCAGGGTGCGGGAGCGGGTGCTTGCATCACCACTTTACAGATAGAGGAACGAGGCCCAAGACTGGAGACCTTAGTGAAGCAAATCATGTCCTCCAAGGTTCTGGACTCTCGGCCCTCCTTGCATTTCGGCTTGAGGCCATCCCTGCAACAGGAAGGGAGTACTACTGACCAGTCTTGCCTCCCTGCCCTTAGCAACCTCTTTTCTCAAGTAGGAATGTTCTTGACCCATCTGCCGGGTCAGTGTACCCGGCGAGAAGGCACTCGGAGGCTGAGGCTGAGCAGGCCTCACTCCTGGGTGCTCTCTCACCCCAGCCATACCACCTGCAGCTTGGACATCCACAGACACCCAGAAGAGCCTTCCTTGGTGTGGGGAAGAGGGATGGAACCACTACTCACTGGAGCCGCCTCTGAGGATCTCGGAAATACTTCTGGGCAAACTCAAGCATTGAATATGGTGAAAATTCCAGGACATCCTCTCCACGGTCAGCAGAATGGGCCCTGACTGGGGGACCCTGCATGAAAAGGGGAGCTAGGAAGTCCTGTATGGCTATATCCTGCCAGTCCAAGATGACTGAAGGCAAATCCTCACTGATTGAGCCGACTCTCTTTAGCTGCCCGCTCATTCACACATGGGGACCACTAGTGTCCAGTTGGCCTCAGCCCTTCAAGCCTGCCACACCCACCACTGTCCAGCTGAGCCTGCCTTCTGCTCCTCTAAGCCCTGTCTTCAGCAGGCCAGCCTCTCCATGAGGGTGGCTGTTTTGTCAAGGCTGACACAACCCCTTGCTCCACAATTTGCCTTGATACTACCCCTTGCTAGCTCCACTCCACAAGCCTGCCCTGCTCCATTCACCTGGCCCAGTCCCACTCCAAGTGGACTTCACCCATTGACTGGCCCAGGCTGATCCTGATCCTTTGCTCTGTTTACAATCAACTGACTCCACCTTCCCCTACCTCATTTGGACACACCTCCAATTACCTCTGGTAACATCCTGTGGGTCACACATCTGGCTGGCCCTATTCCAGGACTGGCCATACCTTTTTTTTTTTTTTTTTTTTTTTTTTTTTGTACTAGGGATCAAACTTGGGACCTTGCACTTTCGAGGCAGGCAGCAGAAGCACTGAGCTAAATCCCCAGCCCCTGGCCATAGTTTTGGCTGACCTGATCGCTTCTACCACTCCAATGAGGCTGCCCCTCCTTATCCCTTGTGGCCTGGCCCCACTGCTGGTCTCACCTCTCTCCTGCGGCCCACCTCCTGTGCAGCAGCTGTAGAGGCCACAGCAGCAGCCACAGCTGCAGCTCGGCCCCGTCCTGGCTCAGATGGTAGCTGCAGGAAGTCAGGGGCAGCGGCAGGCTGCACTAGCTCAGAAGGGAAGCGGCCCACACGCCCATGGACGGTCCCAAATCGCCAGCCTAGCAGGTAGGAAAAGGGTTGAGCCCAAATGGAAGGTTTTTTTCTTGGGATACTGGGGACACCTGAGTACTTCCTTGAGGACTCCTTTGAGCTCTGTAAGCAAGGACATGCTGTTGGCCATGCCACATGAGCAATGTACTGCTAAGCTATACCTCCAACCCTTATCCAGCCATTTTACCAATGAGGAAACAAATGCTCAGATAAAGGAAGAGGTTGGGCCACTGGACCATCGTGGGAGATGGAGCATATGGGCAAAGCAGCACTTGAGAATTTGCAGGGCATGTGGAGACACAAAGAGAGGGCCTAAGCCATAAACATGAAAACACTTAAGGCCCACTGCAGACACTGCTCAACAACACCTGCAGGCAGAGGGTTGGTCTGTATGGCTACCACTGAACATTGCCATGCCTGGCATGGACCTTACATGACCCAGACAGGGCAGACTGCTCTGGGACACCAAGAAACCCTCTTCATGTATCTGCAGTGAGTGCATGACACCAGGGTCAGCCCTGTTTAGTTTCAGGTTTGGAGGCCTCCTTGCATTACCCACCAAAGTCAGGGCCTCTGCGTTGTAGCTCCTCCAAGTATACCACCTTCTTGCGGACCACACAGCCGGCACTGTATCCTGTGGGCCAGCTTATGTCAGCATCTTCCAGGGAGGCCCCGCCTCCCTCCTCCTACACCCCACTCCACTGTACTGACCTGCTCGAGGTGGTTGCAGAGGCTGCAGGTGAATGATGTCACCCTTGTGGAAGGCCAGCAGTGCTGGGTCCTCAGGCAGGAAGTTCCTCACGGCAACCACGTAGTCAGAGTCCTGGGTCAGCCAGGGACAGGGTAAGGAGATATCCCTCACCCTCTTCTCAGAGGTTCAGCTCTCCTCCCTGGTTCCTCCCACTCTCCCCATCACATCAGACAAGGGAGCACTCCCCAGGTGAGCAGTAGGAAGGGCTTTCCAGGTAGAAGGCACAGCCTATGCAAAGGCCTGAGGCACACAGAAGCCTGTGGACAGGCCCTGGCACACACACAGGCATTCGCACTTCTTAAACAGGTGTGGCTGGGATTGATCCAGGGTTGGAGAGCCTTGTTTTGGGCCCCACCACGCTGGGCCGCGAGGGGCATCTGTGGGAAGAAGATCCTGACCTTCTTCAGCTCCAGAATGAAGTCGTCCACCAGGGTCTTGACCTGGTGAGCTCGGGCTGAGAAGAGGATGACCTTCTCGCTGGCCAAGTTGAACTCCAGCATGTTGTGTGAGGGCATGGTCACAAACAAGATGTCTGCAAAGCTGGATGGAAAAACGGCATGAGGGCGGGATCCTACGCCCAGAGGAATGTTCTTATTGACCTCTCCTGTTCATTCTGTTTCTGTGCTGTCCTATCCCTGAAACCCAGCCCCATACTAGTTCCCAGGGACCTCCTGCCTCCACTCTGACTCCCTTGTGCAGCTTCTGCTCATCTCCAATCACCCTTTTAACTCCAGCCTCACCCCATCCTTTGCCCCTTTTCCCACACAGATCGCTCTCTCCATCTTTCAAAGCAAGGAAGTTTCACCCAACACCAAGGCTCTCACTGATCTCCTGATAAAACGGGATTTTTCACAGGAAAGGAAAACTGAGCACTCAGTAAAGTCTCCCAGCCAGGGCCCTGCTCCCCTTTCCAGCTGCCTCAGGACTTGGTTGCTTACAGCCCAGTTACCCCACTACACAGTAAGCTTTGGAGGGCAGGTAGGTCTGCTGTGTGGTCTGAACAGCAGGACAGGGTAGTGGGCCCACAGTTCAACCACTTCCTTCCTGTATGACTTGACAAGTCACTTCTTTCTGAGCCTCAGTTTTCCAAATTCTAAAATGGACATATTTACAGCTTGGTACATCACAGGTAAGCAGCTCTGGAGAGAATGAGGCAACGCTGATGCCAGTTTGTATCCTAGTCTCCAGCAGCCCCACTACCACCTGCCTGCCCATCACCTGTATGCACGCAGGACATGCAGCTGTCCACTGGTCTCCTGGCTGCTCTTGACCATCCGCAGGAGTTTGATGCCCGTGTGGGACACAGCTAGGATCTGCACGCCAGTTCCTACGCTCCCCTGGGGTGAGGATGGGGGCATATGAGGGTCTTCTAGCCTCAACCCTGAATGCCCTGGGAAGCTAGGAGGGGGCAGACAGGGGTTCTCACCGTGGCAGGAAAGAGACGAGAGAAGTAGACCTCCCAGCTGTCTCGGGCAGTGTCGACCACAGCCTGCTTCATACTCTCTGTTACCAGAGGCTGCTGTGTATCCAGCTGGTTCTGGGCTAAGAGAGGTCTTCATCTGGTCAGGACTCCCTTTCCCTCCCCTGCCAGCCCACATCTGAGCGAGGCTGACACCCAGCAGGATAGTATCTGACCAGTATCGATACTGGGAGACAGAAAGCCAGAAGTAAACAGAGCCGGGGCCACTGCATGTCAGGAACTCCTGACTTTAACCATGCAGCCTGGCCTCATAAGGGCCAGAGACACCAAGTTGGGACGTAGCTGGCTAGGCTTGTCCGCACAAACCTCCTAATGGGAAAGGGCTGGCCACAGCTCCAGGTGGCTACCCCACCAACACACCTACCCACCCTCACCATACCAAAGAGGGCCTTCATCCTGAGCCTCTCATCCTGGGAGATGCGCAGGCAGGCCTCTGACAGTGTGTCGTGCAGGATCTGTCGAAAGAGGCCGTGATGTGGGGCTCCCCCAGCCAGGAACCAGGTTGGACCACTTTAGGGTGCACAGGAATGGTGCATCCCATTTTGCAGCAGTGGCATCTTATGTAAACTGGATCCTCATGAGAAATCAGATTCCACATATGAGGGGTCCCCTCTCTTCTCACCTTTGCAAGTCTTTCTGTCCTTCCCAGGCCCCAGTCTCCTTATCTGTCCAGCGGGGCTTGGATTTGACCTCTGGGCCCCGCCGAGTTCAGACAGACTGTGACTCTGGTTAGATGGAATTGTGGGTGCACTGACCTTGTCCATGGAAGTGAGAGTGCTCTGCGGAAGGTCTGCCCAACCTCACAGACCCCACATGCCAAAATGTGAAGCAGAATTTATAGTCTGTGGTCCCACTGCCCTATTAGTACAGTGAAGCAGAAAGGGAAGAGAAGTCTCACCTGCCTGAACAGGAGGTCCAGCTGCACGGGGTGGCTGTAGTTGTCCTTGGGGTAAAACACCTGTGAGACAGGGCTTCAGTAGGTACCTTTGGACTGCACTGTCACCTTACTGTGCACCATCCTGCTTCTCAGAAGAAGCCCTGCGCCTCACCAGCCCATCCTGGGCTCTGCCTCTGCCCCTAGCTCTAGCCCCACCCGCCCCATTCTCTTGGGTCAGCACCCCAGTTCTCCACACACTTCATCTCAATGCGTTCTTCCCCTGGCTCTGGCCTGGGCTTGCCAGGCACCTCTTTGCGAAGGAAGATCCGCCAGGGGGCATTTTGGTAGCCATAGAAGTCGGGGTTGATGAGGCGATGCAGCCGTGTCTGCACAGGTTCCTCAGGGGGCTCCAGTAATCTCAAAGGCAGTGCTGGAGAGAGCAGAGGGGGAACAAGGCATAAGGAAGCACCTCTCAGACCAAGTGGGAGGAGCAGGGTGGGTGAGGGAGGGGACTGGGGAGCAACCATGAGTTCCTCGACATTTGCACAGGTGGGTGCACTCATATAACCCAGGCCTGTGTTCTATAAGCACTGTATAGAGAATGCCTAGGATTCAAGGATGCCTTGGTTAACAAGATAGACAGGGGCCCTGCTCTTGACTTTAAAGTCTCATGGCAGGTGCAGGTAGAACAGACCATTCAGCAACATGACTTTTAGGGATAGGAGCTGGGGCAGAAGTACAGTGGATGAAGCAGGAAAGGGGCACCAGGGGAGCTGGCTTGGGAGGGTTCTTCAGAGCAGGTGGTATCATCAAATCTCTCTGAAAAGATGACATTTGAGCTGAGACCTGAATAATGAAAAGGAGCCAGGGCATTCAGAGATGGTGGAGAAGAGCATTTAGGCAGAAGGAAGAGCAAGCGCAAAGGCCCTGAGGCAGAAGAGGGCTTGGTGAAGTCCAGCGATAGACCATGCCCTAAGAATGGTGGGAGGAGATAAGGATGGGGAGATGGGCAGAAAGTTCATGCAGGAAGGTCTCAAAGACCACAGTGGAGCATTTGGAGTTCATCATAGGAGGGTCATCGTAGACAGGGGCATGTGAACTGACTTTTATATTTTAAGATCACTGTGCCATGGGATAGAGACTATAGAGGTTAAGATTTGAATTGTAGTGCCAGGATGCCTGGATTTAAGTCCCTAATCTGACACTTTTGAGCTATGTGACTTTGGGAAAACCACTTCACCTCTCCATGCCCCCACTATGTAACATGTAGGAACAATAGGTACTGCCTTCATGGGTCTGAGTAGGGTTAAGGGAAGCCAGGACGAGCTAGCCTGAAATCAGTGCAGTTTCACCGTGGATATAATTACATCAATGTCCACACGATATGTACACAAGGGCTGAGAAATACAGACACACACACCACTGACAGACAGATTCACCTGCACGCACAGACATACTCATACACTGGAACACCTCCCTGCTCATCCCTCTTTCCCTTCCTCCCTCCCATCTCACCTGAAGTGGGCACCCTAGATGTCTTTGTTGCACTGGTCACTGGCTTCACCAGGGCCACAGCCTCTCTGGACACCTGTCCACCCCAAAAAGAGTGCTCAGAGACATCAGGTGGGCCCTGTGGAGGGCAGTAGCAGGCCATGGCTGGCAGAAGTAGCTGCTGTCTGAGGCTCCCCAGAAGCCCCTCCTTGTCTGTTCCACTGGGGCCCAGCCTACCCTACTCTCACCTGAGTGCCAGGTGCTGCTGGCAGGTGAGCCATCTGTCCCTTCAGGAGCATCAGGGCCTCCTCGTGAGGGTCAGGTCGCTTCATGAACACTTTCCCTCCATCTTTCCTAATAAAGGAACAAGGGTAGGTTGGTCAGAACTCCCCCAACAGTTCCTACAATAAAGAACATCTATCACCCTCATCCCATCATTATAAATGAGAACCCAGAGCAGAGCAGAAGTTGGTCTGAAATCATACCGCACAAGGGAGACAACAGCAGTCTGGGTTTCCCTTTGTCTAGGGCTCATCTGGGGCCAGGGCATAAACGGACCCCCCCTTCCCTGGAGGGGGACCCTCGGGTGTGGTGAGAGGCCACAGGCAGTGGCAAGGAGGGCAGGTGTTACTGACCTGAGCGCCTCAGGGCGACACCCCCGGAGTGGCTGCTGGTACTGCCTGATGATCTCCCTGATCTGCTGAGTAGGTTGTGGAAAGTGTTCCGAGTTGAGTGTGGAGTACCGGACCAGCTCTGGGGAGGATGACACTGGGGGAGTGGGGAGAGTGAGGCCACGGGGCAGAGCCACACCCATCTGTCCTGGGAAGCCCCTCAGGCTAGGGTGGACACTCACTCTTTTCTGGTGAAGCCTGGTCCTGAGCTAGAATGGGGGCAGCCACAGGCTTGGTGGGGGGCCTTGGGGCCTTGGCCAGGAAGGCTGGAGCCATAGGCCTTGGAGAGGAGCGCAGGAGCACAGGTTTGGCAGGGGGACCAGTGCCTACACACTTCGGCCATGCCTCTGGTGCTATGGGTTTCTGTGGAGAGCAGAGCATGAAGGGGACACACCAGCTTCTCTCAGGGACCCCATCCGCCCAAGATGGGCTGTGAAGCTCCAGGGCTCCTGTTCACAGCGGATGTCTCTAAGGAACCCCTCACCCTGGGCAGGCCAGGCTCACCTCTGGGGGCAAGGGTCTCAGGGAAGGACTCAGAGGTGGCTGCTGGAGCACCATGGCCTGCAGGGTCATCTCCCGGGCCTGGGGAGAGGGGCCAGTGTTGACCAGGCAGTCCACTATCCACCCTCCCAAACCCCTAGTCCCTGCCTCACTCACCAGGAGCACGGCCTGTTTGTGGATGAAGGCTTGCTGCAGAGCCAGTGTGGAGGTGTCCAGGCCAGGGACTGGGGAGCCGGGCAGAGAGCACAATGAGCCGGGACATAGAGGGAAGTGGGAACCGCAGTCCCCCACCAACATCTACGCCTGTGGCTGCCCCTATTCCAGCCCATGTAGATGTCTGAGGGTCAGTGAGTGCCCCCACCCTTCCTGGAGCCACTTGGGGGTGGCACTGACTTGGCTTTAGCTTTGGTTCTGGGCCTTTCTTGAGGGGGTCTTCAGTACTGCTACTTCCAGCTTCATCAGGCTGGCCTCCCCCTTTCATGCGGTAGGCAATGGCTGTAGGCTTCTCCAGGTCCTAAGGGCAGCAGGTGGCTCAAGTGACTGCCTCAGTTTGCATTCCTGAGGTTCCATAGCAACAGGTACCCGACACCGGGCCACTTCCTCTACCCTGGGGGGACCTCCCACTGGCTAAGTGTCTGTTCTGTGCAGCCTTTACCCACAAGGCACACCAGTTAGTCCTCCCGCCATACAACTCAGCACACCTTCCCTTCAGAGAGGAGTAAACTAAGTCTCACAGAGGGGTTGTGCCTGGCTCAAGGCTGTACATTATGCCAAGGACCACCAAGGAGCTCTGGGAACTGAGGGCGAAGAGACCCAGGGACCAAGGTCACTCACTCCTGTGGAGACTTAGCTTCCACCAGAGGTGGGGAAGGGGTCCTGCACTTCTTGCTGGGGGTCCTTTTGGATCAGCCAGGAGCATCTCTAGCTGCAAGGACTCTCATCCTTTTCCCTGTCCCCATCAGAGACTCACATGGGACATACCACTGCATGGCCCTGGCTGTACAAAGCTTTCTATCACCCCGGGTACATGTGACTCGAGTGTACACTGAGCTGCTGTCAGTCAGTGCCCCACCCCGTTCTTACCACATCCCCGTAGGATAACACAGGGTTGAAGAGGCTGTCCAGGTAGCAGTCCAACCCCTTGGGGGGCACAGTGGACTCTCCAAGGCTGTCCAGATCTGGGGGTAGAGTGCCCAAAATATGTCAAGTTCATTTGTCCTGCTGGTCTCCACTGTCTACAGTCCCCTTTAGGTCTCGTTCCCATCAGAGATAGTAGCCATCGGTGGCTGACCTCGACGGGTTGCTGTCCCTCTCTGGGCCTCAGGCTCCCTGCTTGTACTGTCCTCATTGTGGCTGCAGTACCCCTCGGAGTCAGGCACTTCGGAAGTGTGGCCCTCGGGCTGAGGTTTAATGGGCGTGTCCTCATCTGAGTCCCAGCTGTTCCCAAATAGCCTGTAGGGAAGGGAAACAGAGCAGCTGTCCCACAGAGACCCATAGTCCTCAGAACCCCCAAATCTCCTCTGTGCCCAGAACTGGGTGACTCCATTTACAAGGTAGGGTTGAGGCCTAGGATTTAGCTCAGTGGCACTGTGCCTGCCTTGCAAGTGCAAGGTCCTGAATTCAATCCCTGGTACTAGGAAAATAAAAGGCAGGACTACTGGGTGCCCGGTACTCAGGAGGCTGAGGCAGGAAGATTGCTTGAGCCCAGAAGTCCCAGGCCAGCTTGTGCAACACAGCAAGATCCTCCTCAAAAAACAAAACAAAACAAAAAAATCATAACCAAAGAAATCCTCAGAACTCAGACTCTCCAGCAGTGAGGCAGGTGGAGCCTTCTGTCTGGGAGAGGCTATACTTGTGAGGGTGCCCCAATAGCTACCTACACTCTGGGGCCTCCCCTGCTGGCCACCGGCCCTTCTGCACCCACAATGAAGTAGGACTTCTGCCGTGGGAAGCTCCTGGGGAGCTCCAGGTCTGACACCAGATCCAGCACGTAGTCGTGGCCAGCCAGCTCTGCCCACTGGACACCATTCTTCATGACTACTGTCCAGCCTCGCCAGCCATCAGTCAGCCCCCTGGTGACGAAATGTGGAGGGATGGAAGTGAGGGAAGAAACCATCAAGCAATTTGTTGGGAGACCTTGGGGTGTGAGTCATACCTTGGGCATGACAGAGTGGCCCTGGGACCCCCTGAGGAATCCAGCCTCCTACCCTTTCCTCCCTGCTACCCAGGGGCACAAGAGTGAGCTGGGTAGGGCATTCTAGGAGCCAACCTGTGCCTCAGAATGTCTCCGGCCATCTCTTCCCCCGTGCTCCAGGAGTGCACTGGGCAGGAGAACTGGTCACCTGGGGTGGCACACGGCAGGACTCAGTATAGGTATCTGTAGTCCTGCTCTGCTGGCCTCCCTGCCGACTTCTCCTTCCAGGCTTCTGGACTCTGATCCTGTGTTTGCATCCTCACTGCCAGGGTCCCCTGTCCCCAGTCCATCTCCAGTTCCTACACCTAACTTTCTTGCAGAGCCATATCTGAGTAGGCCCTTTCCAGCCCCTCCCCAGCTCCAGAACCTCCTTGGCTACTTCTGAATGCCAGGATATCCTAGGCTGCTGCCTCTAGTCCAGGAGGCACAGACAGGGCAGCTCACCATTGAAGCAGCTCACATCCAGTGCCATGCTGGCCTTCCGGAGGGTGGTGATCCACTCAAGCTGGGTCGGGGGAAAAGTGCGGGCGGCCCCAGAGCCTTGCTGTTGGGCCTGGCCCATGGCCTGCATGAGACGGTGCTGACACACTGCCTGGAAGCCATTCCGCCCATAATCAGACACAAACCTGATGGGTGGAAATTGGAGCCTGAGAAGGGCCAAACTAGTCCACAGCTCTAAGGTGAGGCTAAAAGGCTAGTTTGGAAGGTCCTGGGTTATAGCCTAGAAATCTGGGCTGTATGGGCCTGGGATTTAGCTCACTGGCACCATGGTGACTGCCTAGCAAGTGCACGGTCCTGAGTTCCAACCCTGTTATCACAAAAAAAAAAAAAAAAAAAAAAAAA